CCGCCTTATTTGTAAAAAACTGCTTCGTGAATAAAGAAATATCGACGAAAACTGCAAATGGAAGTAATCGCTACCATAGGATGTTTCCTCCACTGAATATGCCGTCGCTTGGGTGTGTCCTGTTCTTCGTTCATTACTAACAGCAGCAATATCCTTCCTGATGTTAACGAGGAAAAACGATCCCACGCATTCCTGACCATAGAGTTCGAATTCTTCTCTTGTTGGTGGAACCTTTCTGTAGACCTGAAGCGCTTACTAGAGAATAGACAGCAATTCCTGTGAACCGCTTAACACATTCCGGACCGCCCTTGCGCGAGGATCTGCTCATCATCTCAATCGATTGCTTTGATCGGTGATCAGTAACTTCATCTGTTCTTTTCATTTTCCTTTGGAGTATATGTACCACGTGTCCAAAAAAAGTGTTTTGATGACAATGAAGCACGAAAAAGATGTCAAATAGACCATTAAGAAACAGCTGCGACGAGGAAAAATGTATGACACACTGTGTGAGTCACGCGGTCTGGAACGTGTTCACCATTTCGCCTACCCTCAGTGGCTCAGCATATTAACAGACATTCCACGCTGTCGGCATTTCCTCCACCAGATCATTGAAGAATTGCCTAAAGAATTTTTATTGTTTTAACACTGTCATGAAAACTGAGCTGTACGCAGAGACGTATATACTACGCATGAAACAGGGAAATCACGAAAAATTCACCCCCTTCCTAGAAGGCCAAGAAGTGAATACGACCCCTCCCTCCCAACAATGAGCAAGTACGACGCCTCCCCTTTTCGACAGCGTCCGTGAAGCGAGAAAAACCAACTATCAAAATAATTTTTTCTCAGCTCAAATGCGTAGCGCCCGCTCCCCTCTTCTGGCGGCCAAATACGACCCCCCCCCTCTGATGGGGACTCCCCAACAACGATTTGCCCCTGGCGTAGATGCAGTCTGCGTTGGGTTCAGCATAGTTGCCTAGCAAATTAAGCAGCGGTAAAGTGGTGTTCCATGGCACTGATGCCAAAACATTGGCAATTCCTGCGACCGCTTGTAACCAATCTCACTTGTACTCTTCTAAATCTAATCACTCTCTTGAAATTTAGCGGACAATTCTAACGTCTACCTTAATTGCTTCTTGTCTTGACCTAAGGCAAGGAACTTGCCAGCTTCCTGCTGAAAATTGCATGTTTGCGCTTGCGTGCAGAATAAGAACGGGCGTCCTAGGCCAATACCTCCGTTTCCCCTTGTAGATTTGTTTGATTTGGATTTTCAGCTGCTCATGCCTGTGTGAGCCTTCTCATGTTCTCTATGTGAGCATGTAGCTATAGTCTTGCTCGCTGCTGAATTCTGGGGTGTGCTTGAGAGGAAGGGCGGGGCTTTGGCCATAACCGGCGTCTGCCAGCGACAGGACAACGACATGCTCATACTTAGATGCCTCTGTCGCAAACCCTTACCTACAAGTTTTAGCCTGTTATTGCTTGATAACTGCTGTTTAACGCCGCACTGCGCGGTACGCGGTTGTTGGCGCAAAAGTCGCGACCACGGCGGGATTCGAACCCGATCTATCCACTTGCCGGCGCTGCTTCTTATTACGCTACGGAGGGCCACTCTTACTGTCTCAGCTCAATGACTATCTGGTGCTCACCTTACCCTACAACTGCGATGATGCTTATTC